GGACTTTTCCTTAGTTATTGCAGGTCTTGTTCACTAGTAGTTTAGGGTCAGGCTTCAGTATTTACACTATTTCAATCTTATAGAGGAAAGAAGCCTTACTATGTTTTTCATTAATATTGATGAAGATACTATAGTTATCATGCCTTTTTAATGACACACTGGCATTTGTTTATTACTTTTAATCCTTTTATATTTATTGGATAATAGAATTTGAAAAACTTTGCTGAAAAATATTCAGCTTACAGATTATAGCCATATACACCCTGAATACACCCTATCTCAGCTAAAAAATATTCAGCTTGTAATATAAATCAAGAATTTAGAGGCTGGGCGCAGTGGCTCATGCTTGTAATCCCAGCACTCTAGGAGGCTGAGGTAGGCAGATTGCCTGAGCACACAAGTCCAGCCTGAGCTAGAGCGAGACCCCATCTCTAAAAATAGCCGTATGTTGTGGCATGCTCCTGTAGTCCCAGCTACTCGGGAAGCTGAGGCAAGAGAATTGCTGGAGCCCAAGAGTCTGAGCTTGCTGTGAGGTATGATGCCACAGTACTAGTACTCTGCCGGGGGATGACAAAGAAGTGAGACTCTGTCTCAAAAAAAAAAAATAAGAATTTAGGCATTGCAGATATATATTAATTTTCATTATGTAAAATGTGCACACTGTTACCTATCTTAAAACAGAAACTAAAATAAAATTTACATCTATAACATTGAAACTGAATGTTAAAATCTGCTAAAAAGGAATAACTGTGGTCTTCTAAAAGTATGGGGGGGGGCCCTAAAGTTCATGTGCAATTTAAAATAGTTTTTCTAGTACATTCTTATTTTATCATTTTATGATAAAATTTATCAGATCGAAAAGCTTTCTCTGAGCAAAACTTAAGTTTTAATTAAGATGGGTTTTACCTGCTAATATTAGATGTCTTAATGTAGGAAAAATTTACTTTTCCAAGAGTAGGCAATTCCAATATCTAGATAATTTTGTTTTATAGACATAGGTTAAAAGAGCCAGTTTGACTTCTGTTGTACTTTGTTTTGTGAATGAAGATATCTTTCTGCTTTTTATCAACACAAAATATGCTTTGTTTTAAATGTAGTTGTAGGATTCACTGAGCCATCATCAGTCTATGATAAAAAAAAAATCCCCTTCTGAACAGTAGCTTAAAATTTTAAGATAGTTGGAGACTAAGGGAATTGTTCGGGCAATGGAACAAAGGGTGTAATCCAATAATCAAAATGTTTCCCTTTGCTGTATAAAAAAATTAAAGCTATGCTATACTTCTAAGTTAAATTGACTTCTAACCACCCAATGAGCTTTTAGTAACATTTGTAAATGATTTCTGCACTTGGAAGAGGGAAAACGAGGTAATTTATCTTTATTTAAAGAATTATTCTGGTTATTCTAGCCTTTTAAAAGAAGAGAGAAATAAGTGAAAATTGCTCTTTTGGCGTTGCCAACAGCAGGTATTATGAAGTGTTGTCTCTGCCAACTGATAAGTGTGCCTTGTAGCAATGTTTTGTGAAGAGTAAAAATGATTAAGAAAGGGCTCTTTCCTTTAAAACCTTATACCCTAGTAATAGAATGGTAAAAGACAGATTGTGGATAATATATCATGTATGTTCAAAGAAGGCCTAAACATATCTTACTGGGAGATCCAGGAATACTTTTTGGGCAATATATTTTTGAGATTGTTAGTAAGGAATAGATTGTTAATAGCAGAAGTTGTAGAGCATTTTTTTGGCATGTATTTAATATGCTTCATTCTTTTTTTTTTATTGAAACAAATGACAAATTTTATTACATGAATTAATTTTTATGTACAAGCACAAGGATAATGAAATATATTTTCCATGCGAATATTATATACATTAAATAACATACAGGGATAGCAAAGCAGTGTAATTTTTCTGGGAAGCAGGAAAGATTGCTAGTAAGGAATAGATGAGGTAATTAATAGCAGAAGTTGTAAAACATGTTATTTAGAAGAAATAATGTGACCAAAAATACAACAATAGGAAACATTTGTTAAGTACCTATTGTGTTTACAATTATTCTAGCTATTGAGAATAACAAGATGAATAAGATTCAATTTTTTGACTCTAAGAGATAAAAATCCTCATTTAGAATTCATTTGCACAGAGGTTATAGTTAAAACAATGGAAGCACATGAAATATTGTAGGAGAAAGCATAGAGTGAACAAAGAAGATAGCTGGACAGAATCTTTAGTAATGCTTCTTTTTTTTTTTTTAAATTGAGACAGTCTCACTTTGTCACCCTCAGTAGAGTGCTATGGCGTCATAGCTCACAGCAATCTCAAACTCTTGGGCTCAAGCGATTCTCTTGCCTCACCCTCCCTAGTAGCTGGGACTACAGGCTACAACAACAACCGACTATTTTTGTTTTGTTTTTTTGTTTAGCAGGCCTGGGCTGGGTTCAAACCCACCAGCCTCTAAACATGTGGCTGGCACCCTAACCACTGCACTATAGGCGCCCAGCCATGAATTTTTATTATATATTTTATATAGTTTTGAGTTTACACTCTGCAAATTTCTTTGTTTTAAATTATGGATCCATACATATAATTAATAAATATAATTTAAGAATTATTATTTTGTAAAATAGAAATTACAGATGACTCTAAATTTCCCAGAACTAGAATGTTCAGTTCAATTGCTTATCAGGAAAATGATAGAAAATTAAATGTGATTGATCATAGTATGTTTACATAATAGGTAAAATGTTGGATTAAACATATTTGAGTCAAAGAGTTGAATTGATTGCCAAGAACAGGAGGTTTTATATGTAGTAACAAATGAAAGTAAATACTTATTTTTGAGATTACAAGCTAATTTTTTAGAGAAGCTAGGTGGGTTTCTGAGAATTTGCCCAAAAAATCCCCAAAATTCAATATAATCTTTCTGGTCATCTATCACTAGTATTAAAAATGACTTATGGTTTACCTGGGTTTCTTTTTTCTTTTTTTGGTTTTTCTTTTTTAACTCATCTTCAGTGCTAATGCAGTCCAGAGCTCTGGTAACAAAAGAAAACTACCATTTTCCCAATTTTCTGTTTAGGCTTTGAGGAGCAAAACAAAGATTGGCTGGCTTCAAAAAGATACCCAAGTTTTTTCCCCTTCCTTTGTCCTTCTCCCTCACAGTTTCTTGGTGGGCTTCCTTATAAGGACACTATTGATCGTCCATGGGAGACCTAGTTACTGCTTTGTTGTAGTGGAAACACCCAAATCAGAACTTTTTCCTTATAGGCTGATATAAGACATAATTGTTGAAATTTATTTAAATCTTATTTATTTAAAGTTATTCAAATCTACCTATCCAATAAAGAATGCAGTGTTGTTTCATTAAAGAATATAGGGTTCATATCAGTCTCTGAGAGTACACTCTAGCCTTTTTTAGGACTACCCCTTGGTTTTCACAGGTAAAGCAAAGAGGAGAGATTTGGTTGATAAAAAATGATAACAAAGTATACTTATTTTTAAATCACATGTTTAAATTTACTTCAAACATAAACTGTGTTAAAACTAATTAAACTGCAATGCACAGTCAGGCTGATATAAACAGGAGATGATAAGGAAGCTTTATTCTCTGATTTTAACACAGAGCATACTATTCATATAGTAAATTGTTCAGATAATTTAGAGTTGAGGGTTGATATTCTATTTTCTATTCTATTTTCTAAATATTCTTCTTTCTAGGTAGTCTATTTTCTAAATTCTTTAGATAATATAGAGTTGAGGGTTGATATTCTATTTTTGATACTATGAAAATAGTATCAAGCCTGGGTACCTTAATTATTTCCTGGATGTGAATGGATGATTTTCAACTGTTAAGAAAATTTTTTGTCATATTTCTATAAAGTATGAAAAGTAAGTTGTGTTTTTGATCACATAGCATTCAGACCTGGGATTGTAACACTTAGTATTAGATTCTCTTTAGAATATAAGTGGAGGTTGAAAAGTCATACTTTGAATTTAACTATCTTAACTATCAGAGTGTTAAAAGTGATTTTTTTGTGTTGATAACTACCTATGAATACATTTAGAAATATCTTAGTAAGTTAATTCATTGAATCCTATGTTGTCTTGTGTATTGTCTTATTTGTCTAGAATATAATCCCTTTTTGGTATCAAGGTACTCTTCTCACCTGAGAAGTACAGTCATGTGCTGCATGATGATGTTACCTTCAGTGACAAATCTCACACATACAATGATGGTTCCACCACATTATAATACTGTATTTTTACTGTACTTTTCCTATGTTTAGATATGTTTAGTTCAAAAATACTTAATCGTATGTTACAGTTGACTACCATATTCAGTATAGTAACATGCTGTATAATTTTGTAGCCAAGGAGTAATAAACTATAGGCTAGGTGTTTAGTTAGCTATACCTAGGTTTGTATAAGTACATGCGGTAATGATTGCGTAACCCTGAAATCACTTAACACTTTTCTCTTAAACAATGCATGTCTTTATTAGAGAATAGAGCTTACACTCTGGGACATGGTAACTGGAATCTCTTTGCCTATGTATAATAATTTGAGTAATGACTTGGTGACTCCTATGACTTATATTCTGGACCTAATTCAGTGGTTTTCACATTATATTAATAGGATGTTTTTATTTTCCTTACTGGTAAAAAATTTTAATAGTATATCAATATACCTGAATTAGCAGAAAATTGGGCTCTCTTCCTCAAGTCAAATTGTTCTAATTAGTGGAAATTATTTATTTAAAACATCAGTTCTCAAATTCAAAGTAAATAAAGTTATACCATTAACTTTTATTACTTTTAGAGTACTTTCATATTTCTAGAAATATCTTATGTGGGGCTTGGAGAGTAGAAAATGCAGAAGAAAAAAGGCAAAATAAAAATTTAATCGATAAGAAATTATTATAAGTTTTAACTACAAATGCTGAAATTACGTAAATCTCATCTGTTTTTATAGTACAACTGTAAGTGTGTTTTCTTCCCTCCCAGGACATTTATTCAGAGCAGCTGGGGATCAACCGTTTAACCTGTCCACAGTGTCGAGTGCCTTCCCAATGGTCAGCCACCCAGTCTTTGGTCTACATTCAGCCAGCTCAGGGCATTCAGAATTTGGTGGTTTGGGGACACTTGGTACACCCACAGCCTTAGCCGCACATCCCCAACTAGCATCTTTTCCAGGTAAACATCTGTTACAAACAGTGTTCAAGGAAAGAAGGGAAGCTTGAAAATGTTCAAGCAGTGATTTGTTTATTAAATTGAACAAAAAAGAATAGTCTAATATCTGTATTAAAATTCTTATGCAAGAACTGGCTTAATTCCATTTGTCATGTGCAAAACCCACACATATGTGTGTTTGGTGCAGAGCAGTTAATTAGGTATTCAGAAATTTAATTAGATAAATAGGTATCTATCACAGAAGGGAATAGTTTAGCCAATTATTTTTCATGCTTTTTATTGAAGTGTAATAAACAAAAAAAGTGTACATATTGTAAGTATAAAGTTTGATGAATTTTTCTCCGCTTTATTTGATTTTTAAAAAATTATTTAACTTACAGTGTGAAATTAAATTCAGTTCTTTAAGTTTTATTTCAATAGATTTAGGGAGTATGAATGGTTTTTTGTTATGTGAATGAATTATATAGTGGAGAAGTCTAGGCTTTTAGTATACCCATATTTGGCGTTCTTCACTTATAAGAAAGTTGAGCTTGACTATTAAATTTTTATATTTTTCTATATTTGATCAAAACAACTATAGAATTGCACTACTTATATTGCAAGAGGACCACTTATTCAAAATTCTACAGATTATGAGGATTCAGAAAGATGCCAATTAAAGCTTAAATTAGACAAACACTCTTTGTCTTGTTATATTATCTTAAAAGACTAAAGTTAGATGTGTTTTCCAGTTATTTTACCTTAATAAATTTAGTAAGGGATGTATGTTTTAGTGTATGTGAAATAGTTTAAAACATTGGAACATAATTATAGAGACAAATGGATCTGAATTTAAATCTGGGCTTTGCTACTTCATAGCTATATGATCTCATACAATATCTGACCCCTCAGCTTTAGTTTTCTCATCTGAAAAACAAGGATAATAATAACAGTGCGTGTACCTCATAGGTTTCAAGAACATAGGTCATAGTTAGTGCTGAATACAGTGTCTGGCCCACCTGTCTAGTCTATAATTGGTAACTATCGTTATTATTTTTTGTGCACTTTAATGGTTAAAAAAAATGGCAAATCCTTCTTTAAATGTCTTGTTTAAACTATATGTAGAAAGGATAGATGGGAAAATATATTTTCCAAGTTCCATTTCTTGAGTCAAATTATTCCTTTAATCCAGTTGTCAGGGAGAGGGGATGGGGAGGAAGAATGATGTGAGCAGACAGTTAAAGTCTTTTTTTTTTTTTTTTTTGAGACAGAGCCTCAAGCTGTCCCCCTGGGTAGAGTGCCGTGGCATTACAGCTCACAGCAACCTCCAACTCCTGGGCTCAAGCGAGTCTCCTGCCTCCGCCTCCCAAGTAGCTGGGACCACAGGCGCCCGCCACAACGCCCGGCTATTTTTTGGTTGCAGCCGTCATTGTTGTTTGGCGGGTCCGGGCTGGGGATTCGAACCCACCACCTTAGGTGTACGTGGCTGGCGCCTTAGCCAGTTGAGCTATAGGCGCTGAGCCGACAGTTAAAGTCTTAAACTAAGTCTTAACATTTCCTTTAAAAATATTAATGGGAACTTATTTATTTTCTAGCAGTGTTATTTAGCAAGATAAGCATTTAACAGATATCTACTGAAATATAAAATTACATATAAAAATCAAAAGAGATAATATAGTTACTGGGATCGTAAATGTTTTTATCATTGTATTATAGTTTATTAAACTATTGCTTTGAACAGTTCTAAACCAAATGTAATTACTGTATTATTAAAACAAAATACTTCTCGGCTGGCTGTGGTGGCTCACACCTATAATCCTTGCACTTTGGGAGACCAAGGCACGTGGATTGCTTGAGCTTAGGAGTTTGAGACCAGCTTGCACAAGAGCAAGACCACATCTCTACTAAAAATAGAAAAAGTAGCCAGACATTACAGTGGGCGCCTGTAGTCCCAGCTATTCCAGAAGCTGAGGCAAGAGGATTGCTCAAGCCTAAGAGTTTGAGGTTGTGGTACGATGCCACAGAATTCTACCCAGGGTCACAGCATGGGACTCTGTCTCAAAAAAAAAAAAAAAAAGAAATACTTCTGCACTGGAATGATGGGCAACATGTTTTAAAAATTACTCATCTAGATTTCAATAATATCGATACTTCCACTGTATAGGAAAAAAATTAATAATTTCACAAGCCTACATAATTATTTAATGTACAGAGTTCTTGGAGCATTTACTGTATTCTGTGCACTAAGCCAGTTACTGAGGAATACACTAACATAGTATATTTTATGTTGCTGTAGTTCTTAGGAGATGGATAAACATTCAACTTTAATACAGAGTGTTAAGTAATGAAATTATGCCTAAATGAGCACAATTCTTTTCCTTATGGCCAGATACTGTGCCTGGTTTTCAAGGACTCATTTTGCTTAAGTTGTAGATTTGTGGCAAAACATAAATATAAATTGTCCATAATTGCCTTTATTCAGAAGGGTAGCAAAACTGCCATACTTGTAAAATCACCCAATAAATAAATGAGGACACACAGGACAAGCATTACTAGGAATTTTAAATAAGGAATAGTTTGTTTTCAAATTTTATGCATTTCTAAAGTATTCTGGATTTCTGATTAAATCAACAGATGTTATTTGATAGACATCAGCATATAAGATTATTTCTATTTTATATTGAAATAGTATTTCATGATAATTCCCTTAAATTATAATTTTTGGCTATTGTATTTAATATATTACCATAAATTACTGTCAAGTATTTGGATTTACCAAATAGGAAAGATTTTTAAATTTTGCTAAATCTTCTATGTTCAAATTGAGATCCAGGACATCCTCTGAAATATTAAAATCTTTGAGTTGCATATGATTCATATTCCTACTATGTTGTTACTTCTTTTGAATATACTTGGAAATTCACCATGTGCTTGTTTATTTAATCCTTATTTTGTATTTTTCCTTTTATCAACAAGCTAGTTTGTGAAATTTTTGTTTTTTATTTCTTAAATATGGAAAATAAACTTGTCGCTTAAAAAACAGTATATTATCTCCTGTGAAATAATACCAGACATTTGTAAAGTTTATATTCAGAAGCTGTACCATTTTTTATCTTTTTATTTAATTGATCTTATTATTTATTTTATATTTTCCTCTGTGGTATCAATTTATTTATAACATATTTTCTCACTGTTTTCTGTAATCCCTCCTGTGTCCTTAGTTACCTTTGACATTCTGCTACATTTTTATGGGTTTTTTTTTTTTTTTGAGTTCATGTTTAAAATATTTAAATCCTACTACATGTTAATTACCTCACTGATTTGCTTACTGCTATATTGGTTGTTTACAAATCTATACATTCAGCTTTGTTTTTTGGTTGTTTTTTGAGACAAAGTCTCATTTTGTTGCTGTGGGTAGAGTGCTATGGCATCTTAGCTCACAGCAGCCTCAAACTCTTGAGCTCAAGTGATTTCTTGCCTCAGCCTCCCAGGTAGCTGGGACTACAAGCATCTGCCACAACGCCCGGCTACTTTTAGAGACTGGTGTTGCTCTGGCTCAGGGCAGAGCAGAGTCCTGAACCTGTGAGCTCAGGCAGTCCACCTGCCTCAGCTCCAGGAGTGCTAGGATTACAGGCATGAGCCATTGCACCTGGCATATACATTCAGCTTTAATGCTTTAACTATAGACTCTTTTGTTAAATAATATAAATATCTCTAGGAATCCTCAGTACCCTTTTATCAGCTAGGTGTAAGGTAGTTGTCAAACCTATAAATAACAATAAATTGTGATGGTGATGATACCAAAACAATGTACTCTTTTTCCTTCTCTAAATAGTCTTTTGTCTAAGTAGTGAATAAATGATTAATGCTTTTGTATAGTTACTCTTGGTTCCATTCCCATCATTCAGGCATCCCTAAATAAACATTGAAGGAGCATCACCTTCCTGCAGCTTCTTCAGTTTTCTGTTTATACTGTTTTCTAGACCTTTGAGAATGGCAGCTACCACGAAAATTTCACTTTTTTTTTTTTTTTTTTTTTTTTTTGCAGTTTTTGGCCAGGGCTGGGTTTGAACCCTTCACCTCCAGCATGTGGGGCCGGAGCCTTACTCCTTTGAGCCACAGGCACTGCCCGAAAATTTCACTTTTTTAAAACCAAGATTTTTGCTATTAGATAAGGAAGGTGCATATCACTTTACGGTTTTTTTGTTTGTTTGTTTCTTTCTTTCTTTTTAAAACAGATTTTGCTCTGTTGCCCAGACTAGAATACTTTGGCATCGTCATAGCTCACTGTAACCTTAAATTTCTGGGCTCAAGCAGCCTGCCTTCCTTCCTTCCTTCCAGCCTTACTGGGACAACAGTGTGCATCACCACACCTGGATAATTTCTCTTAACTTTTTTATTTTTTGAGACAGAATCTCACTTTATCACTCTCAGTAGAATCCCATAGCATCATAGCTCATAGCAACTTCAAACTCTTAGACTCAAGTGATCCTCTTGCTTTAGTTTTTCATTTTTAGTAAATACAGGGTCTCACTCATACTCAGGCTAGTCTCAAATTTGTGGGCTCAAGTGATCCATCTGCCTTGGCCTCCCAGAGTGCTAGGATTATAGGAATGAGCCACTGTGCCCAGCCCAATTTTTCTATTTTTGATAGAGATGGGGTCTTACTTTTGCTCAGGCTGGTCTCAAACTCCTGGTCTGAAGCAATGCTCCTGCCTCCATCTCCCAAAGTGCTAAAATTACAGGCCCAGACGACATTCGATTTTTTTTTTTCAGACAGAGTCTCAAGCTGTTGCCCTGAGCAGAGTGCTATGGCATCATAGTCACAGCAACCTCCAATTCGGGCTTAAGTGATCTTGCCTCAGTTTTTCTACTTTTAGTAGAGATAGGGAAGGTCTTGCTTTTTGCTCAGGCTGGTCTTGAACACATGAGTTTAAGCAATCCACCTGCCTTGGCCTCCCAGAGTGCTAGGATTACAGGCATGAGCCATTGTGCCCAGCCAATATTCTATTTTTAATGAAGGGATATTCCTAGTAAAGCGTAAAGATTACATAATATAGATATACCAATAATTTTGAGTTTTTCCCATACTACACTGTTGTGTTTTTTTCCTTCTAATTTTCTTTTGGTTGGTACAATCAGTGAAAAATACGGTGTACTATATTTTTTGAAAGACTGATCTGAAAAATAATAACCTAATAGGTAATCCACAGGGTATTCAGTCAGAGAAAATTGTTTTCTAGATTTTTTCAAGACATAATGCAAGATTACTTCATTCATCCTGGAAGAATGTATTCTATAAAACTGTCTTTTCTAAAAGTTTTAACTAAGAGCCCCAGTTTGAGTATCTAAATGATATTTAATGATTTTTCTACCATTTACTCATTTTATATCAATAAAATAATCATGTTTTACACACACATATATATATATATATATATATTTTTTTTTTTTCCCCCCAGTTTTTGGCTGGGGCTGGGTTTGAACCTACCACCTCTGGCATATGAGGCCAGCGCCCTACTCCTTTGAGCCACAGGCGCCATCCCTCATTGTTACATTTTATGAGCAGAAGTATAAACAAAATTCAAGCTTTTTTTAATTAACTTTAAGGAGAGAGCCTTATAAATCTTTTTTTTTTTTTGAGACAGAGTCTTTCTGTGTCACCCTCGGTAGAGTGCTGTGTCATCACAGCTCACAGCAACCTCAAACTCCTGGGCTTAAGTGGTTCTCTTACCTCAGCCTCCCAAATAGCTGGGACTACAGGTACCTGCCACAATGCCCGGCTATTATTTTTGTTGCAGTTGTCATTGTTGTTTAGCAGGCCCAGGCCAGGTTCTAACCCACCGGCCTTGGTGTATGTGGCCGGTGCTATGTGCTATGGGCACCAAGCCTAGAGCCTTATAAATCTTTTTAATTCAATATGAAATCACTTTTTTTGAAAGCCTTTGAGAATTTCTTTATTAAACCAGAAAAAGCATACGGATTTTGCTATATTTATTTTTTTGTTTGACCATAGAATATTTTCTTTTATAAATGCATTTGAGGTATAATGGATTGCAGTAGTCTTTTATTGCTGTTTAGACCACTTGGTTTATCAGAGCTCTATTTATATTGCATGTAATTTGAGGATATTCTTAACATGGATTGTAGATATAACCTAAAATCCTAAAGTTTTAAAGTAGATTATTGTAAAACTTATGTATTTTCTTTAATAATTTAGAAAAGATACGGTGTAAATCAATTAAACAGTCAAGTAGTTTTTTTATATTCCAAGTTTTCAGTTTTATTTTTAAAACTATAAGTACCTTTTTTCTCTAGAAAACTGCTAAGTAAAGATTCTTGGATACTGGCCTAACAAGAAGAGTGATGCGTGTCTAAGTTCTAATCAGCTGCTTAAAATTAGATTATCAGAACTATATAATTTAGCAATTCTCTCCCAAGATGAAACTTAAAGTATTTTAGGGAGGGAATAAAATACAGAAAGCAGATTATCAGAACTATATAATTTAGCAATTCTCTCCCAAGATGAAACTTAAAGTATTTTAGGGAGGGAATAAAATACAGAAAGCAGTTGTTACATAAACTGAAAAGTTAATTCAAATATTTTTGGTTCGTTTGTTTGGTTTTGAGGTGCAGAATGGTGGCGAACAACAGATGTTCATACTCGTACTGGGGCAACCTTCTTTTCACCTTTACTGGGAATTCCACCACTGTTTGCTCCTCCCGTGCAGAATCATGATTCTTCTTCATTCCATTCGAGGACTTCAGGAAAAAGTAATCGAAATGGTCCTGAAAAAGGTATCCATGTTAACATAAGTGAAGTACTATAAATCTTCCATTGTGATACTAATTTCATAGAGTTAGGTTTAATAACACTTTTATAGCATTATGCTATACCCATTCATGTTGTCTTGGTTAATCCTTGCAATAATTCTTTCAGATTAGAAGTATTGTATTTTGCAGCCAAGATTAAGTAATTCATTCAAGATAATACATATGGATGTAGTATAGTTCAAATTTTAACCCAGTTCTATCTTATTACATACCTATATGGAATCCAATATAGTATGCTATTTCCACAATTAAGTATTAACTTCATTAAAACTAATATCCTAGGACTCTATTTTTCTTTTCAATGGTGATTAATATCTCTACAATTTGTAACTATCATAGGAATATAATTTAAAAATTGTAACAACATTTTAGGTGGTTTCTTATCTTTTTCTTCACTTGAACAAGTGTTGTGGGTAGTTTGATCTAAAAGAGGAACATTTATATTTAGTAATCTTTCTAGACATGTTTTTTGAAATTCATATAACACTATGCTAATCATTTTAAGTGGACAATTTAGTGGTATTTAATGCAGTGCTAGTGTTGTGTAACCACAACCTCTATCTTATTCAAAAACATTTTTAAAAAAAAAAACAAAAAACATTTTTATCACCCCAAAAGGAAACCTTAAGTAATGGGTACCAAAAGGTACCCACGAAATAAGCAGTTGCTCTTCCTTTCTCTCTTTTCCAGCTCCTGGCTCCCAGCAGTCTGCACCCTGTCTGTATAGGTTTACCTGTTGTAAATACTTTATGTAGATAGAATCTTAATTTTATGTGATCTTTGTACCTGGCTTCTTTCTCTTATGTTGTTGAATTTCATTTACTTTGTGTATATATATGGCTGCTTCATTCCTTTTAATGGCTGAATAATATTCACTGTATAAACCTGTTCATTTTTACTTTCCAGGTGTAAATGGGTCAATAAATGGAAACAGTACATCATCTGTAATTGGTGTTAACACATCTGTACTGTCCACTACTGCTTCAAGTTCCATGGGACAAATTAAAAGTACAAGCTCGGGTGGAGGAAATCGAAAATGTAACCAGGAGCAAAGCAAAAACCAGCCTTTGGATGCTAGAGCTGACAAAATCAAAGATAAGGTAAGTTATTCTTTGAAGGACAAATTTATAACAGATGTATGTACGAGATTAGTTTTCCCAAGGTCAAGTCATTTGCCCACTGAATGGCAGAGAAGTTCAATGAGTTATCAAATCACAGAATTGATTTTTTTATGAATTTATACCTCTTATTTTTGTAATTATATATTTTGTGGTGTGGTACTAATATATCTTAAAAAATTAAAACTTTAAGGACCAGTATAATTAATACAAATAGTAATGATAGATAAAATTTATTGAGAAATTACATTATCAATTCTACTCTAATTGCTTTGAGTATAGTATCATTTCAATCCTCCCTATAGCCCAAATGAGGTAGCTACTATTATTACAGATGAGGAAACAAAAAGCCAAAATATTTAGCCAGTAACTGGCTGAGCCAGGACTTAAAGCCAGTCAGGTTGACGCCAGACTGTGTGCTTCAGAAAAAAAAGGAACATGGCTTTTATTATGGAAAATTTCAACTAGAAAGCATAGACAGAATAATTCTTTGTACTCAGTATTCAGTTTCAACAGTTGTCACCTCATGTCCAATTTTAATTCACCTATATCCCCAAATGTGCAAGTTATCAATTTATTGATTCTCAGCTCTAAAGTCACTTTTTTCTCTTTTGCCAATTGGTATAGCGTTAGGCCTTGTCAATAGAGAGTCCTGGAGAAACACTGTAAAACAGTGTGACTTCCGTTCCTGGTTCTAGTGTTTTATTCCTTCTCTCATGCTGTCACTGACAGGGGTAGCTTCCTTGCCAGCTGACAGCTTCTCTGCTTGTGGCCCAGGAGACCCAGGGGTGGCCAGGAAACCTGGGGTACACACCATTCTAGTGAGTTTCATTGACATCCCAATAGGCAGCTTATTAGCAGGTTTTCTGGGGAAAACTGGCATTACAGCAGACAGTGACAGCCTTGATCTGTGATTTGATAACTCATTGAACTTCTCTTCCATTCAGTGGGCAATATCCTTATCTTCTTAACTAAGTCTGATGCTCTCTTCCGAAGTTATCTTTTTTTCATTATTCTACCTTGGTCCTATAGTAAGTGGCTATTCCTTATATCTGCTATTCTTGTATTACTTAAAGTTCTCTTTATCTCTCTTATTAGTTGATCTGCAGTTACCAGTTAATAATTCTTTATGTTAAAATGTTCCTATTTAGGTCTCTAGTGTGGTTTCTGTTTCCTGGCTAGATCTTGTCTATTCTAGAATTGGTATCAGGAGTAGACGGGTGTGCAAGTCACACGAGGTAATATCACTTCAGCATTCTGATTACTCTAAATTTTTGGATTCCTTCTTTCACGTTGTGCCAGGGAAAGCTCTGACATCTCAACCTTGTAAAATGTAGGTTACTGTTGAGTTCAGGATATGATCTAACATTTTATGTTATTAGATCACCCATATCAGAGAATTTGGTCTGCTCCCGTATCAATAAATTTGGTCTGCTCCCATTTGTAATTTCTTCTTGAATGAGAGGTCTTGGTTTATTCTATTCTGAGTTAAAGCCTTGAAATCATCTGCAAACATTTTGGAAACAAAAATAATAACAAAAGTTTGTGATCCTACACACATCATACTCTCCATGTTTGAACTGTAAAATCAAACGGACTAATAAAGCTCTGACCTACCCTAGTAAGAACAGCAAGATATGGGTAGCCACTGTGCAAAATGGCATTGACTTGAACTTTAAATCTAAGTAGCATGCTTCCTAGGCTCCAATTTTTTACCCAGAGGAACAACTAATAACTCCTTTATCAAAATGTTTTGTCCTTTTTTAAAATTTAAGTATTTTCCAGGATCAAGTGAAAAATAAAAGTTTCTTTCCTTTTCCTAAGTATATTTCATAGAGATACTACTTTTAGATCTTTTTTTTTTTTCTTGAGATAGAGTCTTAGCTGTCGCCCTTAGAATACTGTGGTGTCATAGCTCACAGCAACCTCCAACTCCTGGGCTCAAGTGATTCTTTTGCCTTACCCTCCCAAGAAGCTGGGATTACAGGTGCCTACCACAACAACTATTGTTAGAGACGGGGTCTCACTCTTGTTCAGACTGGTCTGGAACTACTGTGCTCAGGCATTCCCCCTGTGTTGGCCTCCCAGAGTGCTAGGATTACAGGTTTGAACCACTGCGCCTGGTCTTACATCTAGATCTTTTAGTTTCCTTCTCAACAGAAGATATTTCCCAGAAAATAGCACACTGCTATGAGGGCTTTGGGGAAGGCCATCTGGTGACACTAAGAAGTTTGATGATGCCTGTCACAAAAATACAGAAACTATATTTAGGCCCAGGGATAAACATTTCTTTTCTCTTGAAGCCTCACCAAACACTAGAACAAACATGATTTAAAAAAATAAAAAGCATTTTGGTTGTTTCCTCCCAAGGACACAGACTTCAGGGTCATACTCTCCACCTGTTGCTCATTAAGTGCTCCTTTCTCTTTACGATTTGTTTCAAGGGCTTTCCTGTTAGTGTAAACAGCAGGGTCTATCTCTGAGCCACTGCCAGTTTCTCTACAAGGCAGACAGTGAAATACCACTCATTTCTGATTCCCATAGTACTTTGAAGTAAATCCCAACATCATATTATTAGGTATGTTTCTATATGTATATTTTTAAAAGTGTCCATGGTTTTAACCCTTTTACGTCTTAGAAGCAGTCCTAAAATCTAATGAAATCTATAATGTCCTGTGCCTCCTCAGTGTTTAAGCATTGTGCAAGAGTTTATAGGCATGAATATGAAGCAATTCCTGTACTTAATTCTAATGAGGAATCTACATTCGCATTTCTAAACAGCATCAGTGTTGTTACACTATAAATTATTACCAGGAAAACAAATTAAAAAATTACAGAGGCATGTCTTTAATAATATTAAATAAAGAGACAGATTGTGAGATAACATTAGTAGTGTTTATAGACAGCTAAGTGTAAAAAGCATCATAGAGAGACTGACTGTTGAAGTGAAGCATGTTAGAACTTAAGATTGCAGAACAGTGGCTCGGCGCCCATTGCTCAGTGGTTAGGGCACCAGCCACATATACCGGGGCTGGTGGATTTGAATCCAGCCCAGCCCTACTAAACAATGACAACTACAACAAAAAGTAGCTGGTTATTGTGTCAGGTACCTGTAGTCCCAGCTATTTGGGAGGCTAAGGCAAGAGAATCACTTAAGCCCAAGGGTTTGAGGTTGCTGTGAGCTATAATACCACAGCACTCTACCTAAGGTGACATAATAAGACTCTGTCTCAAAAAAAAAAAAAAAAGATTTCAGAACAGCACTGTTAGATAATTCATGATCTGGCATGAGATAGTGGTAGTGGGTTGTTCAAGTAAAATGGAGATAAAGGGCATTAAAACTAAAGAAGAAAGTCCTAGCATTTTTCAGTTTTAAAAGCATTTAAAAAATTGTTTCATTAGCTCTTTTCATGAATAGTTTGAAAAAATGTTCTTCAGCTAACTTAAAAATCCCTGTTGAGGCTGGGCACAGTGGCTCATGGCTATAATCCTAGTAGCATTCTGGGACAGTGAGCTCAAGATCAGTCTGAGCAGGAGCAATACCCTATCTCTACTAAAATAGAAAAATTAGCTGGGTGTGGTGGTAGGCACCTGTAGTTATAGCTACTTGGGAGACTGAGGCAGGAGGATCGCTTGAACCCAGGAGTTTGAGGTTGGTGTGAGCTAGGCTGATACTACAGCACTCTAGTTTGGGGTAACAGAGTGAGACTCTGTCACAAAATAAATAAATATATAAATAGTAAAAATAAAAATACCTATTGGGGTGGTTAGGGTACTTAGCTCAGGTGCCCTCATTGAAATGCACTGATTACATCCAGTTCCCTCGTATAGTCTCATATACATTTAGAATAAATATTGATAGTTTAAATTAATTAAAGTATGTTTTAGACCAAAATATACAAATATATAGCCTGTGTAGAAAAAAAAAATTAAACAATTCAAGGTTGAATGAGTTCTGTTCCCACTGATGTATAAGTTACTGTTCTCATAGCAGCCAAAACAATCTTTCAAAAATGTGATTTTTTTTTTTTTTTTTTTTTTTGAGACGGATCCTCAAGCTATCCCCCTGGGTAGAGTGCCATGGCATCATGCTCACAGCAACCTCCAACTCCTGGGCTCAAGCGAGTCTCCTGCCTCAGCCTCCCAAGTAGCTGGGACCACAGGCGCCTGCCACAATGCCCGGCCATTTTTTTTTTGGTTGCAGCCGTCATTGTTGTTTGGCAGGTCCGGGCTGGGGATTCGAACCCGCCACCTTAGGTGTATGTGGCTGGCACCTTAGCCGCTTGAGCCATAGGCGCCGAGCCAAAAAACGTGATTTTTTTAAGGTTTGGAAATACGTTAGAGAATATAAGATGATAAGTCCACTGTAGAAGACAGTATAACGGTTCTTCTCAAATTGAATTACTATAGGAGGATCTAGTAATTCCATTTGTGGTTACATACTCAAAAGAATTGAGAGCAAGGTCTCAAAGAGGTATCCATACACCCATGTTTATAGCAGCATTGTCTGCAATAGCTAAAGTATAGATGTAACCCAAGTGTCTGTTGATAGATGACTAGATTAGCAAAAATGTGGTATATACCTAACAATGAAATATTATCCAGCTGGAAAAAGGAAGAAAATTCTTATATATGCTATATCATGAATGAGTCATGAGGATGTTATGCAAAGTGAAATTAACCAGATACAAAAAGATAAATACTGTACTGTGAGATCTCACTTATTTGAGGTACTTAAAATAGTCAAATCGCAGAAGTAGAATGGTGGTTGCCAGAAGCTTGTGGAGGGAGAGATGGGAAGTTAGCGTTGAATGGGCATAGTGTTTCAATTTTACAAGATCAAAGAGTTCTGGAGATGGGTGGTGTTGATAGTTGTACAACATTGTGATTTTATTTAATACCACTGAATTATACACTTAAAAATGGTTGAGATAATAAATTTTATGTTATATGTATTTTACCCCCAATAAAAAATGGGGGAAATATGTATCATATGCCATCCCTCTCTCTGGTAATATACTATCTCACTCAGAATAAAATCTTTGTCATGGCTTATAACAGCTATATGATCTGACCCCTGGTTCACTATGTTCTAATTAGTCTAGGTGACTAGTTAGTTTAAACATGACACACATTCCAACTTGTGGCTTTTTCCTTTGCTGTTTTCTGTCTTGAGAGGCTCTTACGTCTTTGCATGACTGACTCTTCTCCCTTAGGTTTTAGCTCAGAAAGGTTTTACTGCATCTAAAAGCTCACCTTACCTACACACCCCAGCACACATTGTCTACCCAGTTATTTCATCTTCTTATGGCATTTTTCACTCAAAACATTGATTTAGATTGGGTTTTTTTGTTTGTTTTTTTCGAGATGGAGTCTCATTATGTCACCCTGGGTAGAGTGTCATGGCGTCCCAGCTCAAAGCAACCTTAAACTCTTGGGCTTAAGCAATTCTCTTGCCTCAGCCTCCCAAGTAGCTGGGACTACAGGTGCCCGCCACAGCATCTGGCTATTTTTTGGTTGTAGTTGTCATTGTTGTTTGGCAGGCCTAGGCTGGATTTGAACTACCAGCTCTGATGTATGGGGCTGGCACCCTAGCTGCTGAGCTACAGGTGCCAAGCCAGATTGTTTGTTGATTCTCTTCTCCCTGTTCTCACTAGACAGAGTTGGTGTCTGTTTCTCACATTATATCCCCAGCAGCTTGAGCAGCTATGCCTGGTACACAGTAGCTTTGAAAGAAAGAAGATCCCTGTGCTCTATTGAGAAATGAGACCCAGGAATCTGCTGGTCTCGACACATTTTACAAGAAAAAACTTGAACCTTAAATGTTCAGCACTGGCACCTATAGACTCATTTGTGGAGAGAAAGAGTTTCTCATGCCATCTCTAAATTTAAAAATATACACAGTTTAATTGGGTATTGAAGTAGGAATTTATTTTTCTCTGCTAAATCGCTGTAGCTTCCTTATTCTTTTCCTCCTTAGCCTCTACTTAAACAAAAATAACTTCAGTTTAGATTGTTGATGATTTTCATAGTCTTGCTATACATGCGTAAAAACCCACAACAATTTGGTTGCAAAGAAGGAGCTATTTCTCTGACAAATAAATGTTGAGGGTAAATATTAATATATTATTATTATTGTTTGTCTTTACTATCTACCTAATCTTGTGTTCCACACTTTTCTAAATCAGTTTCTCATCCTCTCATCTCTTCTCTGAGGGAAAGAAATAGTTCAGGAAAGATGGTAGCTGTTAGTCAACTTACTGAAGTTCTGTGTCTGTGGAGAGGTGTTATGGTAGGTTGGAACAATTAGAGCCGTCATTGTAAGCAGAATGTAACAGCAGGAGTGACTCTTCTCACTAATGCATTTTATTTAATTTAAATCAATCTTCAGAAGAGTATAGATTTGCACACTGTTAAGTATGGCTTCAATTCGGCTTCCTGTTATAGAAATATATTACTGTGTTTCATTCTCCAAACTTCAGTAGTCACGAAAGGCTACTGTTAAGACCTTAACTTTTATAATTTATTATTATTTTTCTATTTATTTTATTTTATCTATTAGCAAATGCCATTGAAATGCTCCTAAGTAAGATTGTACTTAATGTGTTGCTCTGTCATTTCAACAGTCCTTTTCAGTCTATTCGTGTAGTTTTAACTTTTCCATTGTTATATGGTTTAGTTATAATTCATCTTACAACTTTTCTTCTTTTCATCCAAAACCAGTCTGTTCTTAAAACACAAAACTTTTCTTTTATGTAACCTAATATCCCTTTCTACCAGCTTTGGAGTTTCTTTTTCCTATAGGGTCTTAAATATTCCAAAAATCTTTGTCATATTTTTCTGTCTCTTCTGTTATGAAACATAATTAAATTCCTTAACTAACTAAAGCATCCCTGTAAAGTTTGATATCTATTATATCTGCTTTATCATACATCTTATTATACAGAATTTTTTCTTTTATTTAAGCATCTGTGTACCTTTCTTCTCCCAACCACTAGAATGTAAGCTTTTTGAAGGCAAGAACTTTGTCTTGTACAACCTTATAATCCTGCACCTAGAAAACTATATTTGGCACATTATAGGGAAATAGTTGGCGACTGACTCACTACATAGAGAAGAAAATTAAAGCTAAATGTACAACTTCAACATATGTATCATAATTGGAATTATTATTTTGTGAACGACTCTTTATTATCAGTTATACATTTTGAAGCATGATAACCATATGAGTACATCTACATACATATTGATATTTTCAATATTCTACATGTGGCTAACTTCACACTTTTTACTGGGAAATTTCTATCAGATATGTTAATTTGATCAGTTTGTAAAATAATTATGCTTGCAATATGAGACTTTTTCTTTTTTTTCTACAATGACATTTTGAAATTGAAAATATTTGAAAAAGCGCATACCTTTTACTGAAATTTAGATTTAAAAAATAAAATGATATTTGATGCTTTAGTTAGTCAAAGTATTTTTAAATACTTTCTCTTTATCCAGAAACCAAGGAAAAAAGCTATGGAAAGTTCTAGCAACAGTGAAAGTGATTCAGGTACATCATCGGACACCTCAAGTGAAGGCATTAGTAGTAGTGATTCAGATGATCTAGAGGAAGATGAAGAGGAAGAAGATCAAAGTATCGAAGAAAGTGAAGATGATGATTCTGATTCAGAGAGTGAAGCACAACATAAAAGTAACAACCAGGTATGAATTGTTCCATGAACAGTATTCAAATATTATTCATATTTTGAAATTAACTGGTTTATATTAACTCTCAAAGTCTGTAGTTTTAAAGTTAACCATTACCTTGAATTTTTTCTTTTGCATGAGAAAGAATATAAGAGGGACAGATAAACATTTTGAAAGGAGCATTTGGTGTATTTTTAGCAAGCTTCGTAGATCTGCCATAAGTCACTAGAACACTTTTTAAAGTATTCTTTTTTTTTCACGAGTTAATTTTTATGTCCAAGTACAAGGATAATGAAATATATTTTCTGTGAAAAATATTATATACATTGAATAACATACAGTGGTTACAATGTAGTGTAGGGTTCCTGGGAAGCAGACTCTGTGATAGGAATGTACATGCAGGAAGTGTATTTACTGGGCAGTGCTGTCTAGACGAGGACCAGTGAGAGCGGAAGAATGAAGCAGGATAGACGGAGCACGAAGTTGAACTCTATCCAAGCCCTGACAGATGTCTCAGCTGATCCCTTGAGGAACCTCTGAAGTTGGGAAAACCCCTCAAAGATGTCTGAATTGAGGCAATGGCCAGTCTTTGGGCATCTGCCACCCCACAAAAATGAACCTTGAATGAGACGACACTCTTTAGCCAGGGGCAATTTCCAGAGAAGAATTCAGCAGAGAGCAGCCAACTACCAATAGTCCCAGGAGCTGAGGGGAAGGGGTGCTTCAGTCTCAAAAGGGTTGGGGGATTTGTGGGAATCTGGGAAGCACATCATAGCATAGACTATAGATAATCAAAAAGAACAATACGTATTTCATAATTTACAGCAAAGTTCTGCCTCAATCCCAGATACAAGTAAACTTGAAATTATGAAAAGATGAAATTCTAGCAAGAAAACAAACCACAGGAAATGCCAGCTACTGGAATTGTGGAAACTTTTGATAGTAAGAGAGAAAAAACAAACCCAAAGAAAAGGCCTCTAAATAGTGAGGAAAATTATTTCCAGGAATACTTATTTTTTTTTCAAAGTCTCAAAAAATAGACAACTAATATTTGTAAATAAAAATAGAAGATAATTTCAAAAAACAGATCTTGCCAAATCTCATAGACAATAGAAATCCATCAAATTCATTCTACTTCTGGATAAAGTATTCTTTTTTTTCTCCAGGTTTTATCTTACTATTTGATGGTTTTTATCTTAAAAGATGTTAACAAGCTGCCTTTTAATTTTATTTCCAGGTGCTATTACATGGTATTTCAGACCCAAAAGCAGATGGACAGAAAGTAACGGAAAAAGCCCAGGAAAAAAGAATACACCAGCCATTACCTCTTGTGTCTGAATCCCAGACTCTCTCATCATTCCAATCCCAGCAGAAGCAGCCTCAGGTTTTGTCACAGCAGCTTCCATTTATTTTCCAAAGCTCTCAGGCAAAGGAGGAATCTGTGAACAAACATACCAGTGTAATACAGTCTACGGGATTGGTGTCCAATGTGAAACCTTTATCTTTGGTAAATCAAGCCAAAAAGGAAACTTATATGAAACTCATAGTTCCTCCTCCTGATGTACTTAAAGCAGGGAATAAAAATACCTCTGAAGAATCTAGTCAAATTTTGACCAGTGAATTACGATCTAAACGGGTGAGTTAAAAATTATCTATATAATCATTTTGTTATCAGAAATAAATGAATCTTCTATATTGTCTCACAACACACAAGCTTAAGTTAAATTTTACTCTTATTTTAATCTTTCTTTGTCTCCAGGAATAGAATATGTACATCAGAAAATAAAATTTCTCTGATTTTTATATTCACATATATATCTCTTTAGTATATTTTTGGCAACACAATCATGTCATTCCCCCTAACTCGTCCCTTTCCACCTGCTCCAAAGTGTGATGATTTAGTGGTAAGGGGATGAATATGTTTGAATAAGACAAGATTCACAATTACAAATATCTACATGTTCTTTCTTATTTTTATTTATTTATTATTTCTTTCTTTTTTTTTTTTTTTTTGAGACAGAATCTTACTATGTCACCCTGGGTAGAGTACAGTGGCATCATAGCTCATAAAACCTCAAACTCTTAGGCTTAAGTGATTCTCTTGCCTCAATATCCCAAGTAGCTGGGACTACAGGCACCAGCCACAATGCCTGGCTATTTGTTTTTTTTTGCAGCTGTCGTTGTTTAGCTGGCCTGGACCAGATTCAAACCCACCAGCCTCAGTGTATGTGGCTGGTGCCATAACCACTGTGCTACAGGGACCTACATGTTCTTTTTTAAAAAAACTGAACTCTTAAATAATTTATCATTGTTAATTCTAGAATTTATGAATTTTAAGTATAAAAATCCTTTATGAAGAACCGTTTTCTGGTCAGGCAGGCACATTAGCTCACTCCTATAATCCAAACAGAGTGGGAGGTCAAAGTTGGAGAATGGCTTGATCCTTCAGGTTTGAGACTAGTCAGGGTAAGAATAAAACCCCATATCTACAAAAATAAAAGAAAGACATATCAGCTGGGCTTAGTGGCACATACCTGTAGTCCCAGATAGTTGAGAGGCTGAGGCAGGAGAATCCCTAGAGCCTAAGATTTAAGGTTGCAATAAACTATGATTATGCCACTGCACTCTAGTCCAGGTAACAGAGTGAGACCTTGTCTCAAAAAAAAAATAATTTTTCTAGCTGTTTTTAATGAATTTTATGAAATGTAACTTTTTTTTTTTTTTTGGAGACAAAGTCTCACTCTTGCCTTGATAGAGTGCTGTGGCGTCACAGCTCACAGCAACCTCAAACTCTTGGGCTTAAGTAATTCTCTTGCCTCAGCCTCCCAAGTAGCTGGGAATACAGGTGCCCACCACAATGCCCAGCTATTTTTGTTGTTGTTGTTGTCGTTGTTATTTGGCAGGCTGGGCCAGGTTTGTACCCACCAGACCCCGTGTATGTGGCTAGAACCCTAGGCACTGAGCTACGGGCGCCAAGCCGAAATACACTTTACATACAAAAATTTCAGAACCATTCTTCAGAGAATTTTTTCATCTTAGTTTTTCTTGCTATTGATTTTATATTACTATGTAGTCTATATCTATATTCATATGTCCAGTAGAATTCTAATAATTAAATGACTATTGCTTTTTATTCTACAATCATTTTATAGTACAAAAACATTATGATGAGAAAAAAAAGAAAAATATATTATGGTTAGACACAATATTCTATCTCTTGGTTATAAACATTATCATTAGGCATTCTAATTATTTGTTAACATTCGTAGAGCACTTTCTATTTGCCAGACATTGTTTTCATTGCTGAATATGCATTTACTCATTGGATAATAACATCTATGAGTGTAATTAATAGTATCCCCCATTTACAGGTGAGAAACTTGAGATTTGTGGAAATTACATAACTTGTCCAAGACCACAGTTCAGGTTACTAATGGAGCTGGAATTCAATCCTAAACAGTGTAGTTCTAGTATCTTTATTATTAAAAATCATGATATTCTGCCTTTCTTTCTTGAAAAAGGTCTTAATATCCTTGTCCCTTGACTCTTACTATAAAGAATTTAAGAATAGGGTCAAAGAAATGTAACTTGAACAAATAAACCTTTTTTGAGACTCCAAATGTGTGTTTCTCAAGCCTAACTATAGTGTTAAAGTCACCTGAGAAACTTTAAGCACAATACCCTTTAGAACCATTAAATCAGAATATCTTGTGATAGAATATCTTGTTTTGGAGTTTTTTAAACTTCCTGGTGATTCAAATGTACATGGTCAGATTTGAGAAGCACTGATCTGAGTGGGATGATCAATGGTATCATGTCAGGCATGTGACTTGCAATGCAAAGCTCAAACACAAGCTCGTATTATCAGCGTCACATTATTGACTTTTCGCAAGTAAAATAAACAAATTAAAAATCCCATCACTTGGGTTGTTTTAGTTTTTCTTAATATATTGTATTTTATGATAAATGAGTTTATAGAGCTTCATCAAGAGTTATTTGTATTCTAAAAGATTTCTTAATTTTTTAAAAATATTTTTTAAACATTTCTCTAAATAAGAATTTTATATGACTGTGTATTAGAGACTTGTTTCATGTGGCCAAGCTGTGTTTTTTATACATATGATCTCATTTAATCCTTATAAAATCTTGTGAGGCAAAGAAACTTAAGTCTTAGCCTTAGAGGTTAAGTCACCTGCCAGCAGAGGTTAAGAGCAGAGGGATTTAAACCAAGCACTCTGATTTCAAAACATGATTATGATGAAAAATTCTGATGTTCTTGCTAATTGGTCATCATTCAGAAATTATAATACAAATTATCTGAAATCATAGTAGTAATTAATGTAAAATAATTTATATGAATGGACATTTACTCTAAGTGATGTTATCTATTATTGAGTGACGAGTATTTTATAAACTCTTCTCTACAACAGCTTTCTATACGACAGTCTAACATACAGAATATTGCTTTATTTCTCATGCTTATCTCATTGATTCATGCTACCAGCTGTGTATATGTCTGTATCGCTTATGAGTTTATGATTTTCTTGAATGTTGCTTAATCAACAAATCCTTTAGTACCCTTATATTACTTAAATCAATATACATTTATAGGCTGTGTAAGCCAGGGATAGAATTTGGTAGATCTTCTTATGTCAGTTTTCTCCTGTAAAGTTTTCTCTGGAGGAATTTTATTTTCTGTTCACAGCAGAGGTCTCAGGTAGAGGGTAGGAGAGGAAAAGCTTATAGGTAGGACAGACCTTTTCAACCTATCTCTTACCATATTACTTTTAGTCAAAATGGATATCTTAAAGGAGCAAGACATTTGCAGTTCTGAATTTTCTTCCCCTCTCCTTTCTACAAATTATCCCTGATATTTATACATGAGTAATTGATACTAACTAGTCTTGGGATAAAATATGGTAATCTTTTGCTATTCTTAAAAATCTATAGATGTCAATATAAAGGAAGAGATTCTTCAAAATTATAATGAGGAAGAGTTATAGAAAATAAAAAGCTAAAGGAAAGACTTCTGTTTTCATGGCCCTTTTGGCCCTACTTACTATGTTGCCCTCTGTAAAGTGCTGTGATGTCACAGCTCACAGCAACCTCAAACTCCTGGGCTTAAGCGATTCTCTTGCCTCAGCTTCCCAAGTTATAGGCACCTGCCACAACTCCCGGGTATTTTTTGTTGTGGTTGTCTCAGGCTGCCAATCTTGGTGTATATGGTTGGCACCATAACCACTGTGCTATGGGCACCAAACTGGCCCTATGTATTTCGAAGGAAAATTTACTACTTATAAGAAAATATTATAGAATGATTACATGACATAATTATGTTCTAAAAAATGAAAATATAGGTGGTGCCTGTAGCTCAGTGGGTAGGGCGCCAGCCACATACACCAAGGCTGGTGGGTTTGAACCCGGCCGGGACCAGCTAAAACAACAATGACAACTGCAACAAAAAAATTGCCAGGCGTTATTGCAGGCACCTATAGTCCCACATACTTGGAAGGATGAGGCAAGAGAAAGAGAACTGCTTAACCCCAAGAGTTTGAGGTTACTGTGAGCTGTGATGCCATGGCACTCTATCAAGGGTGACATAGTGAGACTCTGTCTCAAAAAAAAAAAAAAAGAAAATACACTTTTTTGTGAAGATAATTTAAATCTTGTATATATTATTTTATGTAAGAATTTTACTACAAAATTCCTTTTAAAAGGTAGAATCCAACTCTTTAGTATAATTTTCCATAATTTATTCACTGAGTAAATACTAATTAAGCATTTTCTCTTCGTGAGGTATTGCCTCAGGTAAAAATTTTTTGTGACAGTCTTATTTACAAAGAATTACATTACTAAATTAATTTTCTAAACTACAATAGTAAAGATGTTAAATAAGATTAAAATTTATATATAAATTGCTTACTGCTTGTTAATACTGCTACTTTAAAATGTTTATTAAGCGATTTTATATGGCATTTCATTTACATTTACCCTTGTGAAATCTCCACAACAAATCTTTGATGATTTGAGTGTTAGGGACCCAAGTAGAACACTGACAACACTGCAGATTTTGATTTCAAATCCACACTTTCAATGTAAAATGTTACCTTAAGTTAGGAAATTCAATTCCACTTCTGTTAACTTAGAATATTTTAATCATCCCATTTTAGTTTTTTATAGATTATTTTAATTGCACTAATTTAATAAAATTCATGATTTTATTGTTCTCAAAGACATTATACTAACTAAATAATTTTTATTTATAAATGTAAATTTTATGCATTCATGTTTTATAAATTAATTTTACTCAAGATAATTGTGGTTTTTCTAAACTGTTTCCTCTTTCAAATGTTAATATGCTAAAGGCACTCTAAAATAGGTCCTGTAGAATATTAAGCCACCATTCCACCAGCCTAATATCTTAAATCATTGCTTTAAAGAAGTTCTTGTTTAAGAACTCATTATTCAATATTTAGTCAAATATTCTAAAATTGTTTTTTGAGCACATACCAAGTACAAGGATCTAAGCAATGTTTGGGGAAGATCAAGGTGGTCAATAAATGACAGTGTCCCTACCCTAAGGAATTTATCAAAGATGTAAACTAATTTCTTTGGAGCTTTAAGACATATAGGGATATACTGTTTATACTAATGGGCATAGAATATAGATAGTTCCCAGTTTAGGATAGTTCAACTTAGGATACTTTACAATGATGCCAAAGTGGTACAGTAGGAGGAGGGGGAAGTATTTGCTAGAAAGTGGTGCAATAGTCTCTTGCTATGCTGGATGAAGGCAGTGAGCCACAGATCCCAATTAACCAGGTATCACAAAGATAACCAACTAGTACTCTGCGGTGTGATGTGTTGCCAGATGATTTTGCTCAACTATAAGCTAATTTAAGTGTTCTGAGCACTTTTTAGGTAGGCTAAGCTAAGGTATGATGGCTCGCAGATTAGGTGTACTGAATACATTTCTGACTTATGATATTGTCAATTTATAATTGGTTTATGAAGAAGTAACCTCATCACCAGTGGATGGGCATCGGTATTAGGAGGTAAAGGAGTTCTAAGGATAGAGGCAAAGAGTGCTTTTGGCTAGGACAAAAATGGAAAGCTTCTTGGGTTAAGTCTTGAAGAATGAGCAGTATTTCATCAGCTTGAAATTTATAAAGAAGAGGCTATTTCATGCAAGGAAAATGATTATAGCAAAATGTGAAGGTGGCAAAAATAGGACATTCACAGGCTATCGCAAGTAATCTAGTTTGACTGGAAAAATATGTTTATACCTAATTGTAATATAATTTGAATACCAAACTATTTAGACTTTGTAAAATTGACAGTGCTCCAAGGAGCTTATGTAATATTAATAAAATAAAGCTGAATCTAAGAAAAAACTGTCATTGGTGTATAGCATATATTGGGAGTTGGGTAGGAAGAAATTATGGTGTGGCTTAAATTTGAGTGATATTCCATTGAAAGAATCCAAAGATACAGTAGTATAGCTGACTTAGAAAAAAGATATTTTTAGGGTTTTGGGTTTGGATTATCATAAGAATGGGAAAAACACAATGAGAGGGAGACAGGAATATATTTTGAGGGGGAAAAACTAATTAAATTTGAAATACGTTAGGTGTGGCCAACCACTTAGTCATTATTACTACTCTTTTTACAACACTTGAATATTATGATTTAAATTTGTATATGGTATTTGCATTTGTAGTTTTCAGATGTCAAAAGCAAATAAAAGCAGTCTTTGTATTTATGGTACATTTTATTTTGTTTTTAAACTTATGTTTCAACAGGAACAATATAAACAGGCATTCCCATCACAGTTAAAGAAACAGGAGTCATCTAAGAGCCTGAAGAAGGTTATTGCAGCTTTGTCAAATCCAAAAGCAACCTCTACTTCACCAGCACATCCAAAACAAACAGTAGAAAACAACCACCCTAATCCATTCTTGACAAATGCACTTTTAGGTAATCACCAACCAAATGGAGTTATTCAAAGTGTCATTCAAGAAGCTCCTCTAGCACTTACGACCAAAACTAAAATACAGAGTAAGATTAATGAAAATATTACTACGGCAAGTAGCACCCCTTTTTCCTCACCTGTAAATCTGAGTACAAGTGGGAGAAGAACCCCTGGCAGTCAGACACCTGTAATACCCTCTGCCTCTCCCATTCTGCATAGTCAAGGGAAGGAAAAAGCAGTTAGCAATAATGCAAATCCAGTAAAAACACAGCATCACTCCCATCCTGCAAAATCTTTAGTGGAGCAGTTTAGAGGAACAGATTCAGACATTCCCAGTAGTAAAGATTCTGAAGATTCAAATGAGGATGAAGAGGAAGATGATGAAGATGATGAGGAAGATGATGAAGATGATGAATCTGATGACAGCCAATCAGGTCATTTTCCATTTTAAAATATTCTCTAAATGTTGTGTGGACCAAAACATTTTTAAGAACTTCTTAATTCACAGATTTATAATCATTTTCATTCACTGCTTTACACAGCTTTGTGCATATCTACAATGAGCTCATAAAATATAGGAGTAACTGATTATGGGAAATCCTAAGTTAAATTGACATTTGACATTAAACAAATTAATAACTTTAGAGTGAATATAAATGATGCATAAATTAAGACAGTTTCATCAACTTGCTTAATTTTCATTTCATTCAGGACCATTTATTTGTCCTCTTTTTTTCCCATCTCTCCTGCTACTTGTTAAACTGCATCACCTTTGAACAAAGGTAAAGTTGTAGAGATAATCATTCAGAAAGTACTGAAAACCTACGTCCCTACAAATGTCCATCAGTAACACAGAATTTATTAAATAACACATGGAGTATTTTCTAATTTAATTTTGATTCACTTTCTGGGCTTTAATTTTGGGGGAGGGATATTTCTTTGCATTTTTCTTTTTCCTTTCCTCTCCTTGTTCCACAGATGACTAAAAACATAAAACATAAAATAGCTTAAGTTTTAAATACAGAGATGAAATACATTTTTATAAAAGTTTGTGGATTTGTTACTGGTCAGACACAAATTCAACCAAATTTTCTAACAGCCAGTGTGAACAGGAAAATGTAGTCAGTTAGTACAATTTAAAACATCTGTAAGTTAAAAACAAACTACTTGCTCAGGGTAAGAACAACTTGTCCTGATCGTAATTTTTCTTGGGGTTCTCATGAAAGCAACTTTGCATGATAGGTAATTAATATCAACACTCAAAACTTTCAAAAATTAATTTTTATAATGAACTTCAGTGTAACCAGAGAGTACCACACAAAATAGAATTCTGCAAAAGCAATTTTTCTGGGGGCAATTAGGATGTCGTCCAATTATCAGTCCTGTGTTTATCAAGTTTAATCCAGTATTCGATTTTACATATCTGGAAGAGTAGATGCATTGTACATAGGACTACATATCTAGAACTTAAATTATTAAATCACTAAATTATCCTAGTATATTTTTGTAAGCCTATTGTTTTTTTAAGAAGCCTGATGAAGTCTTGCACCTAAATAGAAAGACTGCAGCCAAAAAGCCCAAGTACCTCCCCCCAGAAAATTGTTTGCTTTTACCCCAAAGCCCAAATGAAAGCATGATGGTAGTGCCAGGCTTCTCTTCCTCATACTGGACTAAGTATACTTCTTAAGCCATTGGAATATATTAAATTGAATAATCAAGTAAATCCCTCCTTAGTCTCTCTATCAAGTTAAAAGGGATTTTGAAGCCATCAAGCAGAACTCATGTGACTAGTGTCACATGAGAACTATTTTGTGATTGAAGTGTTGAGTAAACCTTATACTTTAATAGCCTGCATACATTGTTCTCAACTAGCTTAAATGATTTACTCTTCAGGAAAACTGCTCTTTTGAGTTCTCATTCCCGATACTGGTTCCTGAAGTAGTCCATTTAGATACAAACTGCAAATTATTGGTGATTATCTAGTTATAATATACAAATGCTTCTTTTACTTCCCAGAATCAGATAGTAATTCAGAATCAGATACAGAAGGATCAGAAGAAGAAGATGATGATGATAAAGACCAAGATGAATCAGATAGTGATACTGAAGGAGAGAAAACTTCAATGAAACTGAATAAAACAACTTCCTCTGTCAAAAGCCCTTCCATGAGTCTCACAGCTCACTCAACACCTCGTAACCTCCACATAACAAAAGCCCCAGGCTCTGCTCCTGCTGCCTTATGTTCTGAATCACAGTCACCTGTTTTTCTTGGTACATCTTCTTCCACACTTACTTCAAGTCCACACTCTGGTACCTACACTTTATTTTTATTATTGTAAAATAGAAGTCAAACCATAGCAAGAACTTTTTCTTATACAGTGTTCTGGAGATGATCTCACTGGAATCAAGAATTACAGCTAGGTGTTAGGTTGGCTCAGAGTGGTCGACATGTATTTTCAAAGGATATTACCTATTAGCTTATCTTTTTTTCCTGTGTTTCCAGTTTAAGAATCTGATGACAGCTCTTGATTTTGAACCTTTCCTGCGTTCGTGTCATGCTTCTATAATATTTGATCAACAGTTGGACTTTTTTTGTACAGTTGACCCTTGAACAATGTGGGAGTTAGGACCACTGCCCCTGCCCCTGTAATTGAAAATCTGCGTGTAATTTTCAACTCTCTAAAGCTCTCCAAATGCTTAACTAATAGTTGTCTACTGTTGACTGGAAGCCTAACTGGTAAACAGTTCAATTAACACATATTTTGTTTTATGTATTATTAAGAAAATCATAAGGAAGAGAAAATATATTTGTCATTCATTAAGTGCAAGTGGATCATCATAAAGGTCTTCTTCCTTGTCATCTTCACTTTGAGTAGGGTAAGGAAGAAGAAAGGTTGGTCCTCTTGTTATGGGTTGCAGAGGCAGAAAAAGAATCTGCATATAAGTGGATTCATGCAGATCAAACCTGTTGTTGAAGGTCAGCTGTACTGTATAAAAAGAAGCTCATTTGGTTACTTAAGAGCCCAGCATATAGCCAATATCACTTCCATTAGTGAGTAGTATACTGTATTCTTAATTCCATTAACATGCCACATCTTTTTTCCTGTTTGACTTTTTGTAAACTTCTTGAGATTTTCATTAAAAGTTTCTACATTTAATATTCCCAAACTCCTCTCTGTTCTCATTTAATAACTAAGAAAATACAGGGTGTTCTTGGCAATTTTGCTTTCATTTGCCACAAATGAAATAATGCCAAAATAATCTGACTTATTTTAGGTGAATTATTTTATATTTATAAAATTTTATTTTTGTCTTTGGAAAGTTTTACATATAATCATAAGCTTATCCTTTTGTACTTTAGATTACTTTTAAAAATCTACTAGTGTTTTGACTATGGATATATGTGGACATAGAAATTATAATGTCTCTGAATGTATGAGCCAGCTATTGAAATTTTCAGCATCTGAAAACTCATATTTTCAAAGACAATAACTATAAATAGATTTTGTGAACCTTCTATTTCCCTCCTATTTCTCTAGCCATTTCCTTAATAATAAAACTATATTATTTTTGCAAAGCTATATATTCTTTAGAGAGAAAGACTAGTTTATCTGTCATTTGGACCAAAAGAACAAACAAATCCCTCTGCTTTATATAATGTTTTGTTGAAAATTATCTAAAAATAAGGTATAAATTGCAAAAACACCCTAATAATCCAAATCATCGAAATACATTTTTTAAAGAAAAGTATCTAAACTATCAAAAGATTGTCATCTGTATAAACCAATCTTTTATTCTTTTATATTAACTGGCTGAATTTTCTTAAAGGCACTTCCAAAAGAAGAAGAGTAACAGATGAACGTGAACTGCGTATTCCATTGGAATATGGGTATGCAAAATAAGGTTTTTCTCTTTTGCTGTTCTTTATATGTTTATATATATTTTGCATATACTTGATTTCTCATCCTCTACTATTAATAAAAGAAGTGAATATACTCATAGTATTTATTTATTTTTCTGAGACAGACTCTTACTATGTTGCCCTCGATAGAGTCATGTGGTGTCACAGCAACCTCAAACTCTTGAGCTTAAATGATTCTCTTGCCTCAGCCTCCCAAGTATCTGGGGCTACAGGTGCCTGCCACAAGGCCCGGCTATTTTTTTTGCTTCAGTTTTCCTTGTTTAGCTGGCCTGGGGCGAGTTTCAACCTGCCAGTCTTGGTATATGTGGCCAGCGCCCTTCCCACTGAGCTATGGGCTCCACCACTCATAGTATTTATTAGAACAAAAGAGCCAAAGCAAAGGGCAAAGAAGTTAATATATGTCGAAAAACTGAAATTGAGCCTAACTACTTTGTGGAGGTCTGGCAGAGCTGTGATGGCAAGCATAACAAGGCTGGAAAAGAACCCAGAGCAAATCACATGGCACAAAAGTTAAGATGTCGGAAGTTTTTATTAAGATAAGAGTTAAAGGACAGCAAAAACCACTTAGGTTAAAACTGAGGTACTCAACCAGAGTTTGGCCGAAATAATTTAATCCAAACTGACAGGTTTCAGACTTGGATGTATGTGAGCCCCAAAATAGCAGAGAGCCAGGTTTACTTTACCCTTCTCACATAAAGCTTTTCAGATTAAAAAAAAAAAATTATTACACATTGACCCTTGTTGCTGAAATATCCAGTGCCCAAGGTACTATGAGTTGTGATTTCTCAAAATTTTAATGGAGTTGAGTATTTGCAAATTGAGTCTTTGATTAACTTCTTAGTTGAATTAGCTAAAAACTTAAATAATTTTAATAGTAAATATATTTGGGATTTTTTTCATATTTTTCTAAAGAGCATGTATATTTAAAGTTTTTTTTTCATTTTAAAAGTGTTTTTAAAATTATATTTGTCATAACCATCATTTCTGTTATGTGTAGCTGGCAGAGAGAGACAAGAATAAGGAACTTTGGAGGGCGCCTTCAAGGAGAAGTAGCATATTATGCTCCATGTGGAAAGAAACTTAGGCAGTACCCTGAAGTAATAAAGGTACATACTTTTCACCAAATAGCATACATTTGGTGCCTATTAAGCATGCTCATGTGAAAAAAAGTACACTCCTTTCTCAGATAAAGTTTTTTGATGCAAAATAATTTCTTGTGTGGGACTATAATGCTTAACCCAATTGATCTCCTAAAATCCATAGCCCCTTGATAGAGTATGCAAAAGTGTCCTGAAGCTATCTATACATCAAAGCTGGGTTGTAATTATTAAAACCTGAAGTGGAAAAATATGTGATTTTTTCAGTATCTCAGCAGAAATGGAATAATGGATATCTCAAGGGACAATTTCAGCTTCAGTGCAAAAATAAGAGTGGGTGACTTCTATGAAGCCAGAGATGGACCGCAGGTATCCACTTTTTAAAAAGTACAGTCTTTGAAGCAAAAAGTAGTAACATAACCTAAATGAAATAAATCTCACTACACTCTGAAGCATTGCCTTTGCTAGTTAATTCATACAGCTATACATATAACTTTGTGGTAAGCACTCACTAAGCCCTCAATTTTCTGTGTTTTGGTAACAAGGAGCTTTGACACAATCAATGTCTTTTTCATATTGAAGTAGCTTTTTTCTTATGAAATCCATCTAATTTTACAGCTTATACGTAGACACATAGAAAAGTATCTGCATGTTCTTGTGGAATATAGGAAAATAGTAGTTCCTATATTTTTAAAAACAGTTTTTAAAAATCTAATTTGAATAAGAAAACCATACTATTATCAGTCAGTTCAAAAAAGGATAAATATGCCTTGGTTTGGGGGAAAGATCTTATCCATTTGTTTGTACCACCCTTTATGATGCATTTTCACAAGATTGGTAAAATTTTTTGGTTCCTTAAAATTAAATGAGTAAAATTTCTTATTTTTGTAGAAATTGAGTTTTTAAATAAATTATACACATTTCTGAACTTATCCTCACAGCTCCCTTTGATCTTATGGGTCAGGCATTTGGGTCATTGCCTTTGTTGGTTAATTAATACAGCTATACATACAACTTTGTGGTAAGCAAAGCTTACCAGTCAACAAAAAGGACACTCCAAGGAGACCTCATTTCCTGTAGGTTTCCTTTAGTGTTTTTCCTTTCTCCTTACTTGTATATAGCTGTGTATGCGTATTATTCTCTTTGCTTTAAATGCTCCATTGAAAGCATATCCTAATTATGGAATAATGAGACCTAGATTCTCATTAATCCATGAAACAGTTTTAGGATTCTGGATAACAACATAATGTCCCCTTTTCCCTCAATTTCTTTATCTGCCAAATAGAGACAATAATATTTACACTTATGCCTCATAGGATTATGGCAAAGTTAAAATGCTTTAAGGTAATGCTTCTCAACTCAAGTTGATATTTTCTTTGATTGAACATTTTTCCCTTCTGTCCCATTATAATGTACAGAAGGAAATTTTTTTTAGCGATTAATATTTTCTCTGTGAATAGGCAGGCTTTTCTCTCCTATCTTACCTTGTAATTTGATAATTGTAGAAATGGAAAATGCCTTCTTCATTCTACAACTGGCTTATTTGGAAAGCTCAGAAGATAAAGGGAATTTTTTAAGGTCACATAGCCCCAACAAGGCAGAGATAAAAACCACAGCTGAAGGTTTCTTAAAAAGTATTCTTTGCATACTTCATATAACTTATTTCATGACATTTTAAGGAAGAAGTTATGTCCAGATCTATTCATCTCTTCAGTGATCATTCTAAAATGCCAAAATGTGTTCATTGAGGTTTATAGAAATATAAAGAAAAAGTCTTTTAATTATTTTTAAACTTAAAAAAATAGGACTTAGACTAAATCTTTCATCAAACAGATTCTTAAAATTTTAGTGAACCTCAGCATTACACATTCCATGTACACTGAATCAGTTTTTCAGTACCAAGACACATTAGAAGGCAAATTTTTTGTTTTGCTTTGTTTTTAGAGGCAATTTTTTGTTTTGTTTTGTTTTGCTTTGTTTTTAGAGACAGGGTCTCATTCTGTCACCCAGTCTGGAGTGCAGTGAGGTGATCATAGCTTACTACAGACAAACTCTTGAGCTGAAGTGATCTTCTCACCTTAGCCACTCAAGCCCAAGTGCATACCCACCCCACCTGGCGAATTTTTCAATTTTTTTTTTCTGTAGAGATGGAGATCTCTCTGTTGCCTAGGCTGGTCTCAAACTCCTGGCCTCAAGTGATCCTCTCAGCATAGCTCCTCAAAGCACTGGGATTGCAGGTGTGAGCCACTGTATGCAGCCAGAAGGCAATAATCTTATTTTAAAATTCTTTGTATTTTTCAATCTTATTTTTGTGTTATTTATGCCAAAGACATCTTTATGATTTTAGGTTAAGTAGTTTTTGTTCTGAGAGGACAGCTAATTGCTATTCAATGCATAAAGGATTTTTAGTTTTTTATCAGTGATAATTGGACTTAATCTATAAAGCCTCATTACACAGAACAGAATGTTCTTTGACATCAATTCACTATTTATTAAATACAGTTAGTGTTTTCCAAATGAATATTGTCTTGTTAAAATCAATTCTAATCAAGGAAATAGGATGAATTACTAAAGTCAGAATATGTTAAGTTGCCAACATTTCAGTGGAATGCTAGGGGAAAATATTAGCAATTTTGAGAACATTTTTATCAGTTAAAAAAGAATTAGTAAGTTGGATTTATTTCAGGATACTTCTAGATAACAGTAATTAAAAGGTAAGTAATTCAAAAACTTTAGATAATTAGAGATGCATATAGCTATAAAGCAACATACATTTCTGTATACTATGCATGTGTTATACAATTCATATGTGTAAATATATGGTTAATTAGAAACAGTATATAAGAATTTTCTATGAAAATAGAGATTATATATTTTTGTTACAATAATAACTAATGATATACAATAATTTTGATCACCCTAAATTTTGTAGATATAAAATTTAATTTGCCATGCAATGATAATCACGTATTTACTATGCAGTGATAATCACGTGTTTATAATATATTTGCTTTTATACAAACTATATAAATAGTATGATAGCTGAATAAATATTAAATTGTGCATATTAAAAATCTAGAAGAAAATATATCAAAACTTGAATAATGGATGTATTCATTAGTGGTACAATAGATTTTTTGTTTTTTGCTTTCTATATTCATGCATGTTTTGTATTTTCTAAAATTTGCTTGTTTTATGCATATAGTGTAAAAAACCATTTCCTATCTACTAAAAGGAAATATCTCTGCACTCTGTAATCCAGTAAAGCTAAGAATTTATAGTTGTCCAAAAGCACAGAGATTGTACATAATGATTTTAGATGTTACTGCTACAGTTTTCCAAGCTTCATGTATCTATTTGGGTATTTGACAGCAAATGAAATGCTATATTTGCAGATTCACTAATAAAATCACCCCTTCATGTCTGTGGGTTCTGCATTTGTGAAGCCAGTCAGCTTCAGATTAAAAAGTTTTTTAAATTACATCTATAATGAACATTTACAGACTATTTTCTTGTAATAATTCCCTAAAGATTATAGTATAACAACTGTAAGATAGCACTTATAATAAGTATTATATGTAATCTAGAGGTGATTTAAATTATGCAGGAGAATGTGTATAGGTAATGTGCAAATACTATCCATTTTATATCAGGAACTTGAGCATCTGCCGTTTTTGGTATTAATGGGAAGAAAGTCCTAGAACCAATTAATCCCCCAAGAATACCGAGGGATGATAGTATTCTTAATCCTTCTCCTGATAACACATTTCCCTTGGAAACATATTTTTTCCATCATGTATTTCAAAGCTACAGCTTAGAAAACTGTAGCCATTCTCTTAAAACATATCAAAAAACTTAACCAGTTCTATGTGTTCTAATTTTACTTAAGGCATTTCAAAAACTGTATTAGTGGTATTCCAAAGCTCTATGTTTTACAGATGAAGTTTAGTAATAAGTTCTGCTAGATTATATCTGTAGTGGAAAATTATTTTGTATAAGTTATAATCATGTAGATTCAAGTTATTTCTGAGCTCAAAATAGTGATTATGTTTTTTAACAGCAAACATTTGTTGAAAATATTGATTTTGTGCATAGCATAATGAGATGAGAGATGTAAGAGCTTATACTTATTAAAGTTTAAGTAAATTCATCAAAACTGAAGGAGGATAATCTAATGATTACCTTTAAAAAAAAGATGAAACAGAAGCCCTTAATTCAAGTAAATAGGATTACAAAAGAAACAGGGGCGGGGGGAGCCCTTCATCTATTCATTATCAGTTTTATTTTACTTATTAACAAATGTGTTAAGAGATTTGTACAATCAACTACTTGTCAGCCTCTACTGATAAAATACTTCTTACCAGCTTCTGTAAAAATCTTTATGTTAGGTGGTTGAGAGCCTTCATGGAACAAAACAATAATAATAGTACATGCTGTACTAGCTGACTCCCTTCTAATGAACAGCTATTTTAGCCCCTTTGAGACCTATTTGTAAAAGGTATATGGTAAATAGATTACTCTCTCTGCTTTTTTAGTCTACCAGGGGTGTTCACCCTTTTTTCATTGGAAGAATAAGAGTTGTCTTGTTCTTGTTAAATATGCAAACACTAATAAAAGCTGATGAACAAAAATAAGGGGGGAGGATCTATACATGCTTTTTGTGATGTCCAGTACTACAGATAAACAAAAAAAGTCTATGCAAAATCAGCATGGGGCCATTGGGCTACAGGTTAGACACTTCTGCCTAGACTCTGCTTTTATGAAGGTAAATAGATTTCTTACAGATATCTGTTCTACTACATTATAAAGAACACATTGAACTTTGTCACTCTTTAATTTACTTTGATTTTAATTGTCAGAATAATAGAAAGTAAGGTTGAACTAGACAGATTTTGGTAAATATAAAATGGCACTATTTTTATTTATCTAAATACAACACAGAGGTAAGAGATAGCACATTTTTCTTAGAACTATTAGAAGACTTCAAAGTAAATTAATGACAAAGATTATTTTGAAATATATGATGATCTATTTTCAAAAGCACTTCTTGCAAATTGTAGAAAACTAAACATTTAACCATAAATATTATAATTAAGTTTATTGTTTTGTCAAGCTGTAAGTTTAGAAGCATTTAAGAGTATTGACTGTCTTTTGCTATCAGGCCAAAAAGGTCAAAAAAAGAAAGATGTAAAGAAGAAACAAGTTAAAAATGACTAAAAATGTTGCCTTTTAAATTTATTCAACATTCATTTTTTAATGCCATAAGTTAAATCAGTATTTGTAGCAAATACATAATGTGCCAGGCATTTTTTTCCCCAAATTAATTTTCCTTAAAGGCATTTTGCCATAAAGAAAAATTTAGTAGTGAG